TAGTAGCGTTTTGAAATGTTTCTAAAAAATTTGTAAGTTGTGAACAGTTTGCCCAATCATTCGCCGAAAGTCGAACATCACAATCCCTACGGTTTGGATCATTAAAAAAAATCCTGTAAATGCTCGGCATAATCAGCGGTGACATTCAACATTTTAAATGTTGAATTCCACCGGGTAGGCACGTCTGGCTGGAATTTTTTAGGTTTAATTCCAACACTCTTACAAAATCGTCCCCATGCTTTCATTTCCTGGGAACGTTTATGCAAATAATTGACGACCTCCCTTATTGGCGTCAAGAATCCTTAAAAGCATGATAACCAGCTTGAACACACAAATTTAAAACATGACATATACAACGAATATGAAAAAATCTACCCCCACAGATTGGTGTACAAACATCATTTAATTCACGTATAGATGCAGTATTTGCAGTCGCATTATCAAATGAAATTGAAAATACATTTTTACCAATACTATATTTATCTAAGATTTTTGAAATTAAACGAGCAATATTAGAAGCAGTGTGTCGTTCATGAAATGCAACATAAGCGATTAAACGTTTTTGTAAAGTCCAACTATCATCAACCCAATGACAAGTAATCCCTAAATAAAAATTATTTATCCAATGATCGGACCATATATCAGCACAAATGGATACTCTATGATTTAAAGATTTAAAATTTTCTTTTAAAATTAGTTTCTTCTCACTCACGATTTTTCGAATATCGCGAGTAAGGGTGGTACGAGGAACTCGGTTGGCATACGGATTTAAAGCCATTTGAGCAAAATTTTCATATAAATCACTATCACCAAAACTATAAGGAAGAGACGAAGCAGAAACAAATTCAGCTAAATGACGTCTATGATTTTCATGAGAGTAATGAAATAAAGACGTACCTGCACCTTGAGTAGCTGAGGCGGATGCTCCGCTGCTACTTGGGAATTGCGTTTGTGCCGTGTCGATTCCCATTACGGTCGGATGAACATTCTTCAAATGTCGGGTCAACGTCCCGTACCCGTCGCCTTTTTTGAACTGATACTTCGTCTTCGAATTGGCCGGACAGTAGTTGCAAATAGCCAGAAAATAAGGATCACATCCTTTTCATTTGGAGCCTTCGTGTAATGTCGGTCGAACATGACGGAATCCCGAGTTTTGACTTTACCGCCCCCGACAACTCGGACCGGCTGTGTGGGTTGTTGTGGCTGCTCATCCGGAGGAGTACTTCCAAATAGATCGTCGAGATGGTCCTCGTACGGCTGCTCTTGGTCCACCTCGTGTACACCCGTTGCCGGTTGGACTGAGGGTGAAGGCTGAACGACATCGAACATTCGATCGATTGTGGCGGCATCTATATCGTCGGTCACGCCCGGGACATCGACATGTATCGTTGGACTCACAAATGAGGGAAATGGAGGTGTCGAAGACGATGCGCCTTGCTGTTGCCGCTTTTGCCCGGAGGCCCCGGACTTCGAACCACGGCCACGACAAAAAAAGCTCGACATTTTGAATTTAAAAAATAAGTAGATATATAATTTTTTTTTTAATTAAAGAGAGATTAGGGAGATGAAGAGAGATTAGGGAGAGGAAGAGAGATTAGGTAAAATTTATATTAAGTAGATAT